TATGTGTACTTTGCACCTTTATTGAATTTATTAATTTTAGCGCTGCACCCTCTTTTATATTGAGGCTAATGTGTACTCCCGTGGCCATGCAGAGTACTGGCAGAGATGCCAGATCTTCCAGAACTTCTGCCGGGGACAGGACCCTGACACTGGCTTCTGGCTGGATGTGTCCTTATTCATTGGGAATACCCGAGCATTTTAGTGTAGGTGTGTGAAGTTAGTACAGATCAAATTGGGTACCAGGTGGTATGGGGGGCATTCTCATAATATGCTGCACTGTTATAGTTTCAGGGTCCTGAATAATAAGGTACATGGTGTAACCCTGGTCAGAAGCTGGTGGTAGCTAGAGGGAAGAGGATGCCCTTCTGGCACTGTATAGAGGACTCATCAAGCACAACACACATTAGGTGACATGTGTTCTTATGTTTCATTAGCCCCAGGTTGACCTTAGCCAGGATTCATTCTCCAGGAGGAGAATGCAAGGCCTTGAAAAGTAATGCAGGCCATAGACGGGGAGAAAACCGGCCATTTTTTTAACAAAAAAAAAGAAAAATCGGTCGTCAATTTTCAATAGGCCGACGTTACCACCAACAGTAAAAAAAATTGGCCGATTTTCTTTCTGTCTACGGCCAGCATTTAATTACTTCTGTCCCTGCAGAGAGCCCCGCTATTATATTTGACATTAAAAAGTATAGAGGCTGCAACATTGTATCTATTTGTATCCATTTCAGATACAGATGGGTTTTGTTTTTTTTTTTTTTTTGGATACAAATAGATACATTGTTGCAACCGCAATACTTTTTAATGTCAAATATAATAGCGGACTGGAATTCTACTTCTTTCTCTTCCTCTTCTTTCTCTTTCTTCTTCTTCTCTTCTTCTTCTTCTTTCTCTTCTTCTTTCTCTTCTTCTTTTTCTTGCAGGTCACGGCTCATGCGCAGATTTTTTTATCGGTAAAAAGATCAGCCGATTTGCCCATCATTGCTGCGAAATTCGACCCATCTATGGCTTGCATTAAGGGGTCAATATTGGGGTGGCCCAGGGAGATGGCATACATAGTTACATAGTTAGTCTGGTTGACACAAGACACAAGTAGATCTTGTTCAACCAATAAAAAGAAAAAATATATATACATTCCTATATACACAAAATCCTATACCCACAGTTGATCCAGAGGAAAGCATAAAAAACCCAGCAAAATATGAACCAATTTGCTCCTGCAGGGGAAAAATTCCTTCCAGATTCCCCAGGAGGCAGTTGGATATTCCCTGGATCAACTTTACCTATAAATGTTAGTATCCAGTTATATTAGGTGCATTTAGGAAATAATCCAGGCCTGTTTTAAACCAATATACTGAACTGTCCAGAACTAGCTCTTGAGGGAGTCTATTCCACATTTTCACACCATTACTGTGAAAAAACTTTTCCTTATTTCGAGATTAAATCTCTTTTCCTTCAAATGTAAAGTGTGCTCCCTTGTCCTCTGTGATGACCTCAGGGTGAATAACTCTACACCAAGTTCACTATATGAACCACTTATGTATTTACACATGTTAATCATATCCCCCTTAATCTCCTCTTCTCAAGAGAGAATAAATTCAGCTTCTCTAATCTTTCCTCATTGTTGAGCTCCTCCATGCCTCTTATCAGTTTGGTTGCCCTTCTCTGTACTTTCTCCAGTTCCCCAATGTTCTTTTTGTGAATTGGTACCCAAAACTGAACTGCATATTCCAGATAAGGTTTTACTAATGTGTTGTACAGGGGTAAAATGATCTCTCTCTCTGGAATCTATACCTCTTTTAATACAAGAGAGGATTTTGCTCGCTTTGGAAACCGCAGCTTGGCATTGCATGCCATTATTAAGCTTATGATCTACGGTGCGTAGTGGCGTTTTGAACACTAGGGGTCTGCATTGGACACTGGACTCAGGAACTGACTGAACAAACCCAGTCCATTAGTAGCCCTGCTTACACATCTCCTACTCAAGGAAACTATGTGCTAAAACCAAAAGTAAACCTGAAGCAGGGTTGCAGCATGGCAATCTACTGATTCAGTCTATGAATATGGAAGCATTGGTTTGTCAATACAGTAGACATGAATGAGGGGATGTCAGACAGCAAAACATTTTTAGCACAAATGAGCAAGATCACCTGAGAGTATCAACATGTCAAGAATTGTTTTAATCACTCACTCAAGAGGTAGAGGTCAGTGATAAAAATTGGATATATTCTGGTCCTGACAGACAAGCAATAATTTTCAGAGGAGATCTTCTCATATGACCACTTCAAAAGCATGAAATCACATACATGGAAATCTCTGGTGTAACTCCAGCCAAAACAATATATTTTCAAGACAGTTTATTTTGTAATTGATTTTCTCAGAGTAGTTTTTATGAAGAATGATGATATCACTGTGTGGCATGCAGGCAGTCACAAGAGGGAAAATCTACAAATTAGTACATGAAATATGATTGTGAAAAGATAATACATCAAGCGAATAAAATGTAAAAATTCTATCACAAATAACTCCATCATATTTCTGTGTCCAGCTGTTCTGGTGGATAACAATTCACAAGTTTGTTATTTCCAGATGCATGATGTGGTGGTTTATGATATAATTTATTCAAACTAAATAGGGCGGTGTCCGATTCTCTTAAACAATATATTGCAGTGCCTCCAGCCGTTAAAGTACGGCAAATAATTAATAATCCAATAATATGGACACCTTAATAATTTGATCACCACGTTATAATTTTCCTTGATGTGATTTCTTACCATATACACAAAATTTGCCTTTTTGATAAATAAATAAATAATTTATTTATGCACACAAATTTATATATATATGTATACAAGGATGGAGACGGGGATTACTGGGGGGGAGAGCACAGGCTGCAGACACACGGAGCGCTGACCTTCCCGGGAGACGGAGGAGCAACGAGCCGGCACGAATTTGCTCCACTGGAAGTTGTCTGATCGGTAACAGGCACCAAGAACCAACGTTTGGCTTCCTCTGAAGGATTTTTTTGATGTAAAACTTTGGCCATTTTAAAAAAGATGACCCAAGATGGCGATACGGATCAAAGGACCGCGATACTTCTATGCTGATGTGTCCAGATGGTTATCTGCTATATGACCTGACCTGGGAACAGATGATCCACTAATTGCTTGGAAACGCAGGATTTCATATTGCGTGTTATAAACGCACTTCTGGTGAGTGCGTATTTCATTCATTTGAAGCACACTATCTATCACTCCCAGATCAGGATATCCACACACCTGGCATTGTCATCCCTCAGGATCCGCACGATTTTACCATACCCTATTGAACTATTTATTCACTGAGAATCACCATTCGGTGACATCATCTATTTTGCACTAATTGATATTGCATGAAAGTGTGTATACTATAAGGGTTTATCATTACTCAGCGCTGCACCTGCCTATTTTGATTTATATATGTATACAAACTACTACTGGTGATGAGTACTGTATATTCTTACACACAATCAATGATATATCACGCTAACCACTATGGTATAAAAACACAATATATGTCTATAACCACAATGCAAAAACAATTATTAGAGGGGTTAGTATTAAACAATTAGTGCTTTAGATGTTATTTCCAATTTCCCGTGGCCGTAGGGAAATAGGAAAGGATACCTGATAAGATGCACCACAAAATACTACAAATAGGTTAGAACACAGTATATCAGTACCCAAAAAGTTATATCAGTTATTACCCAGTTAACCGCCGTACACTATGCAAATTATATAGATATGCACACTGTTATTCTAACCAACACAATGAAATATGATAAAAGCTCTAATAAGTTTTAAATATATATAAAAGTTATGCTGTTCTGACACAGTTCTCACCACTCCCAGAATTTACATTTATGATGTCTTCCAGTGGGATGCAGTTGGTAAACATAAAAATGTTTCTTGTCAGTCAGGAACAAAAATTGGATCAGCAACAGAGAGTCTCTCCTTTGGCAAAAGTCTTCAAAAAAAAAAAAAAAAAGTTTTTCAAAAAAAAAAATGGCACCAGGAAGTTCTCAGCAGCAGGAGGTTCTTAGCATGTGTAGCATATAGCAGGTAGCAAGTGGTATGTGGTATCTCAAGTGGTAGATATGGTATCTTAACTCTCCTCTTTAGGGTCTTGTATTTATATATGGTATAAGTCCATTGTTCTGAAAGACCTCACATGGGGATTGATGATTGGACGGTTAGAAGTCTGTGTAATTTAGATGTTCTTTACCCACCGGGGAGAGTCAAGTACCATGAATGAAATGGTGACCTTAATGACCTTAATCTTTTATCCGAAGTATGATAAAATGTAGGTGTCCTGTTAAGTTATAAAAATGACTTTTCCTGATATCTTTTTAATAAGGTCCACATATATATATGAGTAGATTTAGTGGCTCATCTTCCTGATATGAGAGCTGTATTTTGATTGACTGATCTTTGTCCTGAAATGGCAGATCTCTGTATAATAATTCCATAATTTGTTATGGTATTAAGTTTGATCTTGTACTCCTAATTACAGTTCATCATGTGATATGTGCCACCTCTCTCTACATCTTCATGTAGACACGTGTTGCTGCATCTTTATTTTGATATATGTATTTTACCCAAATCACAAACCATCTCATATATCCTTATGACTTAATGATCTTCAGTTGAGTGATATGCAGTATCCAAATTTATTAAATGGACCTTGGTGGGTTGGTATATACCTTTAATAATATTTCAGTTTAGATATATGCCAAACTTTTTGTATATATATTAACTGCAATCTTTCTTCATATAAACTGAGTGCAAAAGTTCATGGTGACATGGCCTTCAGGAAATCTCCATTTAACCACCTCCTGTCCGGCTGTTGTATATAAACGGCCGGACGGTGACAGTGCAGGGTCAGGTGGCCATTTATAAACGGCCTCCTTGCACCCTGCTTGTGCGCGCTCCCTGGACACAGTGGAACACCGATCGTCAGACGGGACCTCTGTGCGAGGTCCTGATCATGTGATCACTGATTGGCCAATCAGTGATCACATGCAGAGTAGTAAGCTTGTGACATCATTGCTTACTACGTGTGAAATCGGTGAATGATCACAGAGGTCACATGGTACAAGGCTATTCACAACAGCCTTGTACTATGTGACAAGCTGTGACCAATCACAGCTCACTCAGTAGTTCTCAATGGCTGCAAGAATGCAGCTAGAGAAGGAGAAATGATTGCTTTTACAGCCTTTATGGGTGTAAAAGCAATCAGTGTAAAAAAAAAAAAATCTTCATCACCCCCCCACAAGTAGTACAGTATGGTGACACTGTACTGCTAGGGTGACCGTATGTAAAAAATAAATAAATAATATAAACAAAATAATAAAAGTATAAAAAAGTTTAAAAATTATAATTTTTGGTTATAAACTAATTTGGGTTATTTTTTTTTTTACTAAAAATATAATGGAATACATTTTGCCCAAGAGTTATGATAAATTACTATTTATTTGCAAAATTTTATAAGAAAAACACTTTTTTCAAAATTTTTGGACATTTTAATTTACATAGCAAAAAAATTAAAATCCCAGTGGTGAATAAATACCATCAAAATAAAGCTTTATCTGTCTAAAAAAAATGCTAAAAAATTCATATGGGTACAGTGTTGCATGACCGCGCAATTGTCATTCAACATGTGATAGCACTGAAAGCTGAAAATTGGCCTATGAAGGAGGGGGTAAAAGTGTCCGGACAGGAAATGGCTAATTACCGCTATTGTTGAGTAATTAGAGTAAACATACATTTTAAGCTTCCCTAAAAATTGTGATTCACTATAATTGAGGTTGACCTTCTGGCTTTCAATTGACAATTGTTACAACTTGGCATGCTTGTTTGGCTAGCAAACATCCTGCAAGGTCTTTAAAAAAGCTGTAGTAAATAATACTGAGTCCTACAATTTTCAATTTATGGTACTTTTGTTTGAGAATCTGCACGTCTCAAATAGTGTATTTGGTCTCCATTGTATGTCAAACAGGTCTCTTTCCACTCAATACTTCCTTGTTTAGAATGGCTTCATGGATGGGTCACCTGAAGTTTCACCAACTAGTTAACCCATAACTGTCAGCTTTGTGATTCTCTTTCGGGGAATATTATTTTCCTTAATAAATAGTCCAAAAATCACCACAATGACCAGTCCATGTCTTGACAAAAATTAATATAAATAGTTACAATCTGTAACAAAGATTGGACCAGAAAAAACAGCCCATTCTTGCTGTACACCTATGCAGCCTATACGTATAACAATGTACATAACGTCAAAATTATATCTTGCCCCTTTTGGTGCCATGCCACTGCCCCCTAGGCCCTGGCTTTAAACAGTTAAATGCAGCAGGGTTTAACACCAGAAGATACAAGGTTTAATTTGCTTAATTTTCTAATCCAGGAGGCACAACGCTTTAGAACTCAGTTACAACTCACCTTACTGTCATGCTTTGGGAGCTGGATAAATTTACTCTCGTACACATGCGTGGGAATTACTTTATCCTAGACAGTCCAATCAAGATGGCTGAAGATGTCACAAGAAGAAGAAAAACACCATGAGAAGATGTTGGCACCAGGTAGGGGGCTCAATGGCATTGCATAGCTGGAATGGAGGTAAGTTTCATTCAGCTTTAGCTTTTGCTGCATCTACTCCCCAGACACACTACTTTGTGGTACAGCACCCTTCACTTCCAAGCTGAAAGAGCTTAGGGCATCATGGACACAAGTCAGCCCAAGCTCACACCATAATGCTGCAGAGAATACAATTGGCACATCAGTGACACTCTCTATCACTGAGGTCCTTCCACCACCATGGAAGAAGATAGAAGGCCCTGTACATCACATGACCTGCAAGAAGACATCTGACAAAAATACATGTGAGGGTAAGGAGTGCCTCAGGAGCCAGTTGGGTTTAATCTTTCACAGATTCAAGTTGAAGTTCAGGCTGGTTCTAGGGCTGACTCTAGAATATATAGATACTGAACTTTAGCATGGTTGTTACTTTGCACACTTTTTATGGTATGACTTTTTTTTACATATATTTCATATTTTAAACTGTTTTATATGTTTAAAGGCTCATTTACATTAGTGGCAGCCCTTTTAAAAGTGATCTGCAGTGAAGGGAGGCTGGGAGGCACTCTGCAGATGCTACAGAAGAAGGGGGGACTGATGAGAAGAAATTTAATGCCAAGTGCCTACAAAAGTTAAGGTGGCCATCTTAACAAGGGAACCTTTTAATAGGGGATCCCACATCACTTGGGTGCACGTTGAGCAAATGGTTGGTTAGAGCAAGGAACCTGCTGATTACGGACAGTGCTTAGCACAGGGAAAGGTTCCTGGTGAGTAGGGACACTGAAAGGGACACAGACTGGTGCCACAAGAACTTTCCAAGGATTCCTCCCAGTGAGCTAGTACAGAGTGAATTACCAGATACTGCAATGCCTCCAGCAGAGGCTGTCCTCTGTTAACATTATAGTGCTTTACACTACAATGAACTGTGTTGAAACAGACATGTTCTCCAGTATCTACTGTGACTGTTATACAGTACCTCTGCACAATTCCTATAAAGTTTCTACAATGCTAAACGTCTTGTGTGTGTGAAGTCCCTCCCAAGTGAATACCTTCTTTGAGGCCCTGCCTGTATGTCTATATTTACTACCTCCACACCCCCACCCCCCCACAGCAACAAGCGTGAGCAAGCCTTAACTTTTTCGCAGGTGCTAAATCTGGTATTGAAGGACTAAGATACATACAATAGTTCCCCACTGCTACACTTCATGTTGACATGTTTAACCCCTTCCTGTCAAGCCTCAGCATCCCTTTAACTGGATAATTACTCCCAGTGGTGGGTAGGTCTACCTGATTGGCTGTCACAATAATCATATGATTGGGAAAAATTGCTTCTGGCTCCTAATCATTACTTTAGACTAGGAACTATCTTTGACAGTTTGGTCTCTGTGCTGGGACTGCACAGTAAGAGTGCTCTCAGCATAGAAACTTCTGCTTTCCATGGACCCATATATGCAGCTTGTAGGCAGATGCAGTCTCTGTTCTTTACTGCATGTGGCGCTCAGCCAGAGTGGTACTAAAGCTGGAGACGAAGTCAAGAAAAACCTGTTTTTTCTATGGTTTCCTTGGTCCTCTAGCCAATGTTCTGGTAGGCTACACTGCATCCAGGTGGGCCTGGTGGCCATCCTGGGTCAGCAGAGCCTTTTTAAGTGCCTGCCCCAGGCTTTGGCGTGCTTTCTTGTGAGTGGATAGTGTAGGGACTGTTCATCCAACTGTTAGGGAGAGTGAATAGCGGTAGGGAAAGGTTTGGATGAGTAGGGACATGCCATCATGCATCAGAATTCCCCATTGGGTTCACACTGGCCAGGCCACGTTCCACCCTCAGAGACGCTATCGGTGCATCAGAACCTGCTTCAATCTACAAGTTCCTAGCTGGGTGCCTGCCTGCTGAGCTGTTTGTATCTTTGGTCCATTCCTTCAATACAAGTTTTGTTACCTGCAACAATGTGTGTATTTACTGCCACCGCACCACGCTGCATCTACCCACAGGCATGTGGGCATTAAAGCCCAGCCCACACTCTTTGCCACTGAACATACGCATTACATAGGTGGCAAGAGGTTAAATAAGGTTCTTTGAAATACTTATAAATGCAGTTCTGTTTTTGCACGTACAATTTTTCAGGATAACAATGTTTGTGAGTGGAAAGTAATTTTATGAGCGAAGATTTGTTTGACAGCAGTGAAAAATCAATGGACATTCAATATATTTGACAAGCAGAAATATCAAAGCTAATCAGGATCAGCTGTGCAGGGAGAGAAAAGCAATGTTTGATTTTGAATCATTTATAATAGGCCATTCAATTGCCTGTCAGAGTATTAGCATATTTAAATAGTTTTAATCTAACCTCATCACCATGATTAAAATTGCTGACAAGGATGGAAAGCTTTGATGAACTGTATGAGGCGTAACGAATAAGGTGAATATTAATGTGCAACAGGACAGATAAGTTCTGCATATGAGATTTAAAAGAAATGGAGTGTGATTAAAGTGAAAGAGTCCTTGGAAGATAAAAGCCATTCTGCTATGCTTTCACAAAAGGTTTACCATACATGACAGGTTCAGTTTATAGAAAATACTATAGCGTAGTAGAGAATTAAGAAAGAGAAGAAGGCTTGAGGATATGATTAAAGTGTATATAAACCCTAACAATGAATTTATATTATTTACTCCCTTTTCGTCTGTGAAATATACCATTGGAGGTTTATTTTTATATGTGTTTGATAAGTGCAAAAACACCTGTTTATCCTACTGGGAAATGTATAGACAGATCATTTGTTGGGGATGCAACAGCATGTACTATATACAGTATTGTGTGTTATATCACTTGAACAGTAGATGGCACTGTACACTAAGGTTACCAGTTGTGCATATCTGTAAAACTTGTTGGTTCTCTCTCTTTCTTTATAACCAAGATGTCTGCTGTTACAGTTTGCTGAAATGTTTTGTATGTTTGCAACTTAAGCCACACAAGTAAAACAAGTTCTGCCTCATCACAAGCTACTAGTGTCTTCTCTAACACATAACCAACAGGTTATGGGCCCAGCTCCAGACACTGGAAAAAGGAAAACTACAAGCAAGTAAGTGCTGCATTTACAATCCTACCAAATCCTGTGTGAGGAATCAAGAGCTGTATCCAATTCACTGAAAGATGGCAAGTGCTTCAGATATGAAGTTTACAATAGCAAAGCTCAACAATACCAACTACCAGCTATGGAAGTTTAAGCTTGAAATGCTGTTATCCAAAGATGACTTGTGGCAGGTACTAGATACACACAGACCCAATGACAACCCGGAAGAATGGGACAGAAAAAACAGGCAAGCAAAAGCAGTCATAAGCCTGTTAGTGGAGGACGATCAACTCATTCATTTAAGGAAAGAAAACACAGCTAAAGGTATGTGGACTGCATTAAAAAAACTGCATGAACTTTCAAACCTAAACAGTAAA